ATAAAGGCAATGGGATGTTAACCCGCTGATGTGATTCTTCTATAATTCATTCAGAGAAAACCCCTATGGAGACTTTGTTGGATTTACTAGTTTAATTCAGATGTACTCAAGTCTTTTACGAATGCCGATGAAAGATGCATGCATCTGATTGTTCCAACTGTAAATCGTCATCAATCGACAAAGCTTTGACGGCGACAGGTTTCAGCTGCTGGAAGCCACGTCAAGGTAAAGCGTTGATGGAGTTTTACTGTGTCGAATTCCAGGGACAGGGTTCCGTTTCGGTGAATAGTGTTCCAGTCATTACTGCTGTACATCACTTAAATGTTTGAATTGCATGGAAAGAGGCCATATATCAGCACTCAGCTCCCACCTTTGCAGCGCGCCATATATAACTCAGTGACGTTTTATACCTCATAATGCAGTGACATAGCTGAGTTAGCTTCAACAATGACATTACAATTACACAAACATCAATAGCACACAACGTTTAACAAATTATGCTTGAACGGTGTATGTAAACCCTTTATGTATCGACACAGTGTTTGGGGTGGTCGGGTAGCGTAGTGAAAAACACGCTCGCCTTAAAATAATTTCTAGTTAAGATTTTAGAGAATCTGTTAAAGCAAGTTCATCCGGAAAATGTTAGTTTGATATATATTTATATTTATGCAATGCATAAAGTGATTTATATTATCTGGTTAGTATATGATATTTTTATTTGTTATATTTTGTTGGTTCCGGATGGAGGATAACTTTCCGTTTTTTAAACTAGTCCATCCCTATAGAAGTCGTCACGTGATGTTTTGGTGAACTTAAGTCACGTGACCTGAGCAGAATATTTTTCCATGCTGACATTTTGAAACATCTCCTTAAAAAATCAGCTATTTCCCTACATGGAAGAGTGCTGAGCATCTGATACAGAAGGTGTTCACGCATAAGAGGCGAGGTTAGCTAATAGCAGGGGTATCCTCCCTCGGCTTTCGCCGTAAGAACTGTCAATTTAAACATTTCTTGTGGAAACATTGGTGACGCTTAGCCCGCGAATTCGTATTGTTTGTAAACAAACGCATGTGGGGAAGACTTGTCAAAGATGACGATTACTGCTATGCTGCTTGGTCATTCTTTCGTTAGACGGATTAAATCCTTTATGGACAGTTCGATAGATATTAGGGTGAACGAAAAGTCGAACGGAGGTACGAGTGATATGTGAAGGATTCAAACCAGGGCAATAACGTTACCGTTAGTGCAAGACAATGACCCAGTTATAGTACAAACGATCTGTGTGACCAGGAAAAATCGGTCGAGGTCATATTTCGGCAGCTAGTGGAACTAGTTGTGACACTTCGTTACAAATTGTGGGTGCGTCGTGTGATCGTCATGCAGGTGTTGCATAGGTTCCCCCCTTCACGACAAATTCGTTATGAGGTGGACACTGTGTGGTTTAACGCCAGGGCAGATGAGTTGAACCGTCGACTCGACAGGTATATTCCGGGAAAGGACGGGTTGAGGTTTTCCTGAATGACAGGATTTTGGTCGGCATCTGTATCTGTATATTACTGGAAGACCTCAAATTTTCAATATGTCCGTGGCAGAAAGCCAACAGCGTGTGTATGACAAGGATGGGGTACACATCAACGCAGAATGGAAACGTAAATACTATAATAACTTGAGAAGTGCATTGAAGAAGAATTATGATGCTGTTAAATGAAGAAAATATTCCACTCGAACGTTTTGAGGCAAAATGTATGGTTTAATAAAACAAAAAGATGAAAACTAAAATCACACTCGCCTTTTAAAAGACGGCCGGGCTTTGACTCGCCGATCAGACGTAAAGATAAATTGGGTCATAAGCCCTATCACGTGGATTTTTTCCCGGTAAGCCGGTTTTCTTCCACATTAAGACCCTCTGCGTTCATTTTTATCATATAAACGAAATACATTTGACATAATAAAGGAACATTTCACCAAGTATCTAAAAAACGTACAAGGAATAATCTGGCTTGGTTGACCAACTGAAAGAGCCAGCGATAAAACCATGTTTACATGGATTCCTGTGAAGTTTCAGAAAATTAAAAACACGGTAGGACCGTATGCGTGTTATCATCGGGTATTCAGAAAGTTTGTAATACAAAAGTGTGATTAATGAGTATTTCGTCCTTTGAATATGTGCAGGTAGATTTCCTATGTTATCAAGCTTTAGTTATTTCTTAAAGCAGGTAATATAATGAAGTTTGCGGACAAAGATTAAGTTTAAGATGCTTTGTCTGCAGACATAGCTGCATGCCTAGTATGCAGATCGTTGAATTTGACATCGGGGTCAAGAAATACCTAATTGTGTTTTGCTTTCATTTCAGATTTCAAGCATCAAGCTCTTTTTTTGCAATATGGACCTGATATATTTGATCCATTCTGAAAGTCAATCAAATTCAGTAAAAACTCGTCTTGTCCATTGCCTAGCGAGGTCTTCCACAGAATCCACGAGTACATGTATCTTTAGACTACCATTTCAGTTGATAGTTGGAGTATCTCGATACTCAGGTTCCTTCGTAAAAAGCCTTCGTATGATGGATGATATATATAGATCGTCAGTGACTACATATCTAGCCGGACTACAGTGGTATGGGGACGTGGACCGAGAACATGCGGAAGGAGGAGTTGTGATATGGACATCTACATTTAGCTATTGCAGCGTTTGCTAGTAGTTGAAGACATATGAAGCAATGGGTTAAGAATGATATTACGATTATTAAATGGAAAAACTCTTATCCTTCTTTTTGGAAAGTTTTTAAATAATATGATCATTGTTTAGAGGGAGACTATAACGTTGCGTTTATCCCCATTATGGAATAAGTCTGTTTGTTCTAAAGATATAGCTGGATGTAACGCAAAGATTGATAAATCTGGACAGACACTGTTTTTTTAAATGAATTGCTTTGAACGTACAAATGTGAAGAACCAAATTGTAGGCCGAATTATTTTTTGAAAAGATTTTTAGCTGCATTCTAAAACTAGCTAATCTCCTCCTAGTTTGACACTAATCCAACATCCAAACGATCAAAAAATATTAAAGCCCATTTATCGATAAATCAATTTGCTACACACGGGGGCCAGCCAAATTTACACGGAGACTACTGGCAAGGTTTTGGTCACCAACAAGATCTTGCAGATAAATGAGCTATTGGTTTGTGTGATATAAAGGTCGATGCCTTTATATTATGCTCAGGAGAGCTTTTTGTACATATGTAGTTTTGTCACTTTCCCAGTTCACTTTGATTTTACGTACATTTACATATCGGGTGTCGTCGATTAAGCAGAAAGACGATTTCCCTTCCGGAACACCTGGTCTTGTTCCTATTGAACTTGTTTAAGGGTCTCCGTTTGAATCTTTCATTTGATCGTCACATATTATAATAGTAACACTAAGTGCACGATTCACTAAATAAATGTAGCTACAATTAGGAAACGCCGCGATACTTAGTTTTAAAAGGAAACGTATAATAGATGTACATAAGTATTAGAAAGGTGAGTACACCTTCGACAATCGGTAATAGACACATCATGCCAAAAATCAGTTTTTCTGCATCATACAAATGTTGCGTTATTGTAAGAATCATCGGTGATGATTGGGGCTTAAAGTTTGAAATCCAAATGGATTGGTTTACGCTACTGTTGAAACAGTATGAATATATGCCGGTTTTGGAAAATACAAAAATGGAAAGGGAAGGAACGAAACGATGTATCATTAAACGATATTGTTTTGATTGGAGTTTGTCCGAATGTATGTACTCAGCCGTAGGTTTTGTTTTTTTTAAATTTTACTTTGTACTGCAAGCATAGTACATGTACATTAAAAGTATGTATATATACTTTAAAATGATGCTCACCTGTCCAACGACACCATACGTCAGTCAAAGTGTCAATTTCCTTGAACAAACGATTCAATCACAATCTAAATATAGTAACACGTCTCTGTAAAGTGTGGCGTTAGGTTTGAGTGATTTGACAGCCACATTAAGATGTATTGCTTCGAGCTATCAACCTGTGTTGTCATCAATTTTACACCTCAACCAATTTCAATTGAAATATGAACAAAAAATTTACCAGATGTTAATTGAATAATTATATTTTCTAGGTAATTACTTACCGTGTTTGATGTCTGCCATCAAACCGACGTGACCTTTTCGTCATGCCTTCCCCGTACATCAATTCTGACAGCCCAAATTGCCAGCATTGTTGATGGTAACAATAAAAGAAATCTAAATAAGAAAACTATTTTAGATATTTGCAATTTTGTGCTTTACTACATTATTATATACGTTAAAACATATTTCAGGCTGTTATTCACGTTTCTGACAACTCTAAGTAGGGCTTAATTAGCTGTGAACGCATTATTTGTAATTAGTTGAAGTGTAACATTGTAAATGATATAGAATGAACTATGATACTTTTACACGTTATTTGACACATATTCAAAGTAATTGTAGTTATTATGTGGACCTGTCAAGGATACGATTATGCGTGTTTCTTACCCTCAATGTTTTGAACAGGTACATTTGTATTCATATTTTTTTCCCACAAGTAATTTTTTTTCATATTTTCTTACGGTTGATAACATAGCCTTTATAAATTGTATGCATTTAATCTCTCTCGTTAAGTCTAACACTGGGAGGCAAACTAAACTGTTACTCTTAACATCCTTGGATGGAACTTTTATTATTTAATAACAAAACAAAAAAACACAGAAAACACAAACTCAATTTACTGTAAGATATAAGTTATTTTAGCATTGATAATCGAACCCGTTCTTTCCATCAGACTTTAACTTCAACTTGAATTTAACCATGATTCGTAGACGTGTATATTATTTTTTAACTAAGCGAATTAATTGCCGAAGGTCAACAGCCCATACGCATGAGAGTATTCGTCAAATCATAAAGGAAACATGTCTAATTTTATTCAAGGAAAGAACGAAAATACAATAACATCTATTGACACCATAACTCAGTTTTTATATCACGATCAATATTAGACTCCAGACATTAGCAATGTTGAGGTGACAATGATATAAGCTACGACAAGTGTCAATAGTTTATGAATATTCATTTGTTTTTGCACATATAACCACCATTATCACTGTTGTATAATCACAAGACGTGTCGTATGATTTTTTTGTTTGGGATGTCAGCCTTTTTACCAGTTAAGTCTTTTGGCGACAATGACCACAGATGATGCTGCCGCACTGCAGCCATTATTAGATAATGACAGTGTCCACTGATTACAATGTCCTCTGTTGATGTGTCCACGCATAGATCATTTAAGCGTGCCAGTACACTTAAATGTCACACTTGGGCAATGCATCATGGCAAATGGATGTCGGGAGGTATTCGGGAGACTGAAATGAAAGAGTAAATAAGCAAGATGAGAAAAGGTAGATGTGTTGCCATGGAAAAAGCAGACAATGTCCTCCAAAGTCCTTATTATTTGCCCTTACATTAAAAAGAGAACAAAGAAGTAATAGAAAGGGCCAGGGGCCAGTGTTTGTCTCTACTTACGACCCTTCCATGGAATACAGCTGGTCAATTATCCGCTGAAAACCTGCAAGGAAATGTTCAAGATAAAAAGACATTATTTCATACATATGAAATTCATACTTTATCATTGCGCACTCGATAATAATTATAATCGAGAAGAATATTTCTTACAAATTTCATCTATTTTCATTAAATAATTAAACTCTTACCTCATTCTAAGACAGACATCACTTTCACATCACAAATTTAATACTTATCCGTAATCCCTACCCCGGTATCATTGCAGGGTCACGAATTTAACAGATGAAGAGACGCGACCTTCTATGATCTCACGAAGGTCGTCGTGTTTTTGACATGATAACGATCACGTCCCTAAGGCTGTTGATGAGACTAAATGCCTGTGAGCTTTGACACCACCTATCCGATTTGTATGGCATTTCACTAAAAGCGTTCAACACCCTATAGTTACTGAAAGACGCGAAGGACGGACGATCGATTGATGACTCCGACAGTCGTGACGTAATGGGTCATAAAAAGGCCGTATTGACCATAGCCCAGTCTCGGTAAGTATGACAGGCTTAACTGACGAAAAAAATAAAGGAAATATGGTTCGACATTTTTGTTTCAGAAATGAGGTATCAGCTTCAATCATGGCATTTTGTTTTTTGATAATTTATCCATTAACAATTGGATAAATGGCAAAATGCAGCATTACCGATTTTATTGATTTACATTAATGTTAAATAAAAAAGAAATCTTTCTTTTCTTTTATTGCATTTTTTTCAATTTTTTTTTTCAAACACATACTTAAAACTGAGGTTGCTGTAAAAGGACTTTGTCTATTTTGTGAGGTTATTTTACGTAAACAGGTTGTTGACACTGCTCATGGACTGTCAGTCCCCGAGCCTGTACGTGACCTTATAGCTGGAATACATTCCGGATCGTCTTAAAGAAAGTATTGTTTCAAAACAAAATTACGTTGTAGCCAAAAGCTGTAAATTTTTACCTTATAAGGAATTGTACATAAATAGGTACATTTCCCCTGTCGCTGTATTCTACATACATTCGGACCATCTCCGACTGGAGTTTTGTTCGTTTGACCTTTAGTACTAAATGATGAGTCGCGAATCGACCTAATGGACACGTGCTGCGGTAACATGTCGACTCTGTTTGGCTTCCTACATCGAGAAACTTAAATTTAATTAGATACTTCCGTTCTTAAGATTTATATTGATTATCTTATGTCGTTAACAGACTATACTTGGTCAGTTGGTGACATCCTATCCCTCTCCTCCTCACCGAAACAAAGGCGTGGCCTAATTTTACCAGCAATACCATAACCATATTTAAAACAGAAACTGCGAGAGTTGGAGTCGAAGTTAAAGTTAGAACTGTTTGATCTCATTATAAACTCGTATAATGTATACAAACTCTGTACAACAAAAACATATTCTTGCGTTATGGCACAATCTAACACTGTATGATATAGTACATGTACATGGTTATTAGTCATTAGAAATATTAAATTGTGCCTTTTTTTAATAAATAAATAAAATAGATAAAATTGGATTCGTCTGATCTGATTGATGATTAATTTCACGAATCTATTAAAGAACCAAATCAATCATACAAAACACCATCTGATCGTAGTACATGTAGGTACAGTATATCGGTCTAAACTTACATCAATTACATTTACAAGGTGAACGAACCACTCACACAGGTGACTGCCCCTTTACATATGGTAATAGACACAGTATGCCAAAAAGATAGTTACACTGCATCATACAGCTGTTTCGTCTTTCTGGGACTCATAAATAATGTTGGGGGCCAGAAAGCTGGAAATCTAAATTGGTCTAAAATACTGTTGAAATATAGTGTCATGTTGGTCGTCCTTCTTGGACTCTTCAATAATGCTAGGGGCCAATCTAATGTTGAAACAGAAGGTCAGGTGTTTCGTCCTCCTCGGACTCTTCAATGATGCTAGGGGCCAAACTAATGTTGAAACAGAAGTTCAGGTGGTTCGCCCTTCTGGGACTCATCGATGATGCTAGGGGCCAAACTAATGTTGAAACAGAGGGTCAGGTGTTTCGCCCTCCTGGGACTATTCAATGATGCTAGGGACCAAACTAATATTGAAACAGAACGTCAGGTGGTTCGTCCTCCTGGGACTTTTCTTAGAAGTATAATTTTGCATACTTCCTTATCTGTATGTACCTGCATTGGCAACTTTTCTTTGAAGGCCACGCTATATGTATTGTGTTGGCTTTATCAGCAGCATCAAGACAACACAGATGTAACGACAGTCAATGACACATATCAAGGTGACCTTTATTTTCAATATGTCTAGAACACTCAGTAATGCGGCCTTTATTGGATAAAGGTCAAAGAAATTAAAACGTTATTGAGACAACATGATCCTCTTGGATTATCTGTATGTACCTGCACTGGCAACTTTTCTTTGAAGGAAACGCTATAGGTATTGTGTTGGCTTTATCAGCAGCACCAAGACAATACAGATGTAACGACAATCAATGACACATATCAAGGTGACTTTTACTATCAATATGTCTAGAACACTCAGTAATGAGGCCTGTATTGGATATAGGTCAAAGAAATTAACACGTTATTGAGACAACATGATCTTCTTGGGATTTCCAAGATGCAAATAACTCAGAATGCATTGATATGTATCACTATATTACGAAGAGAGAATGAGATAACCAGGTACAAGCCGGGATCTATTCTCGCTTCCAACGTCGTGACGTGAACAGCTTCAACCTATAAACCATCTCTACTTGTACCTATAACTGTCAAAACGAAAGACCATTTATTTGTACAGTAATTGAGGTATTGTTATACTTCAAGCACGAAATAAACGTTTATTGTTACACATAGTTCAAGTGCAAATTAGTAACAGTATTATAATTCCGCAATTTTATATATAGTTTAAAAACTTATTAAGATAACCACATTGAAAAATGTGTCTGATTTCTTACTATCAATACAGGTTCAATTCAGGAGCGTAGGTAAGTCTTGATGACAAAGATATTGGTTTTATTTGCACGACCTCATCATATTTTATAAGAAAAAGCATCCATCTCAGGTATATTGTTTATCAATAATCGCTTCTCTTCAATTATTTCATTGTCTTTCTTCTTACCTCTTTACCGTTTAAGGTGTATCTGAAATTGCTGTCTCGACAGTTCTTCAATCGTTTTTATGCTCCAGTTCAAGACCATTTCTTCCGTATTGCCGCCGTACAATACTACATTTATGGTTACAAACACCACAAACTTTTTACCAGAATTGAAGGAAATGCGAGAGCGGGATGTTAATTTCCTTAACTGTATTGATATGTTAAATGCGCATCCCTACTGTCACTATCACGGAAGGGACTGTGATAAATACATAGTTCTAATGCTTCTCATTCCAATCGCACATTTGTAGAAGTTATTGTGAGAAGACAGTTACTTATCAAAGGGCCTTAAGACGGGCCTAGTGCTGGAGAAGAAACAGAAAGGCTTCAGCTTAGGCCTGGTTGGTAGGTAACTGATCGATATCAACACAAAAATGACAACTTCTAAAAATGTTTTAGTTAATGTCTCAGCAATTCATATTATTTCGGTGACCATTATACCCCCTTCTTTCCCCTTCCGTCTATGCTAGACATATTGCATGGGTAAGTATGGATTATAAACAGCGTAAACACGAGGAGATTTCTATGTCTCGCTAATTTCCACAATTCTTTGACAATGTCTTTGTTCAGATATTTCTAAACATTTTCTTCAGGTTGGAAAGTATGGATTATGAGAATTTCTATTTACACAACCAATAAAATGTTCTATATGCACACACAAGTGTAAATAGATAACCAAGTATTAAACAAAACGTAGCCGAATCGAGTCATTTCGGTACATATATAACAACTATTGTACATACACTTACAGCGTAGCCGAGATCGACATCGATTTTATGGACAATTCGTACACATTTTACACCTTTGTGTGCATACGTTTCACTGGCCATTGGTCTGCTGGATGAAGGTGACAGTGTACATATCGTATAAGATATCAAAACGTCACACAGAAAATTGTATTGGTTGTGTAAAAGACATTATCATCATAATACTGCAGGGGTGCAGAGAGGGAAAGTGAGCATAAGCAAAGGATACATTCCACACGTTTATCTTTGAGTATATTTAATACACTTAATGCACTTAATAATCACACTATGATCATCTCCTGTGTTCAATAGCCCGTCTATCAGAAAAAGGAAGACTTTTTGAAATTTCCACAGCATAAATATTTTATAAAATGAAATCGTCGTTTTAATGAAAAAAAAAACAATACGATTTAATCTTTTTTATTTGAAGAAAAAAATATGCAGCTGTAATTTAGGCCTAACACAAGAAATTATATGAGAGCAACAGGCATGCATCTTTCGATAAATTAGGTCACACGCTGGAGTTCACTCCCTTGGATAAAGCTACAAGAACAGCTGGACGGGCGTTAGCTTTACGATGTTTAAACTTCATCTCATTAGCCTGACTGCTGATAACCTTTATATGAGTAATACTGTGTAAACAAAGCTTGAAATTGACGTAACTTTATCAACTTCAGCGAAAATTGTTTCATAATTTTATTTGGTTTTATTTAAATATTTAAACAGTTGTTTCATTTCAATTTTCTTATGTATGCAATGTAAAGTTGATGTTACAGAAAAATATGCTGTTGTAAATGCTATTTGTCTAATTTTGATTATAAAGATAACTGAAGGGAGTGTTTTCTGTTTTATAAAACATTTTGCGTATTTTTTTGTCATATGAGACAAATGATTTAAGATGTAAATCAAGACGCAATGCAATCTTATTAACGCCTCCTCGAACTGACAATCTGTATGTAATATGACTTGAAATTTCCTGAAATGAATTTTTGTTGTCGTAATATAACGTGGAAAAAAATATATTGTCTGGACGTTTCAAAATCAAATCAAGTAAAACTATCGTCTGGTCGTAAAACAGTTGGTTATCTCATTTCTAATAACTTGTTAGGAAACGATTTATTATTCTTATAGGTTTCGTCTTCCGCTCTACCCCACACCTGTGGACATTTGTGATGATTTCTGCTGCTGACAATGTCTAATCTGAGATTTAGGAATATTTGTTGATTCATAATACTGCTCCATATTTAGTGCGGAGATAATTTACGAAAGACAGCTAATGACACCTCGAAAGCCAAATCTGTATTGACGTACATCTATGTCGT